TTCCAGACAGATTTATGAAAAAGTAGTGAGGGGACCAACACAAGAGGAAAACTTACTCACTAGTTTAACCAAATTTATCTGTTGTAGCTGCATCTTAATGATAATTTTGGTAGGTGTGACCAGTGTATAATCCTTGTGGGAGGAGATCCTTCTTCACACTTTGGACTCCTCCTTCATGTTGTGTAGCTCTCCCACCTGATGAATGGGATGGATTCAGAGCAGATCTAGCAAAGCTGGACATCTGTGAGCTACTAGTAGGCCATCAGCAGCAGTAAAATCGTATTTTAGCAAAGTCTGTAATCTTATGTTCCAGTCTACCTCTCAGCTAACCCCTTCCCTCCAATACTCTTACTATTATAATGAATCCAGCAGAGAGTCATCACGCAAAACTAGAAATGAGGTACCAACCTAGTGAAGCTACCACACATGCTACATGTGTGCCAACATTCGGAAGCAGCATGCTATGGACAGAACTAGGCAATCAGCAACCAACACACTAAAGTTCTATAGCATGCAGCATCCAATTGTGAATGGTGGTGGACAAATAAACAACCAACTAGAGGAACAAAACCAGAAGTTGCTGGAAAAGCTCAGCAGGTCCGGCAGCATCTGTGAAGAAAAAATCAGAGTTAACATTTCGGGTCTGGTGACCCTTCCTCAATCAAATTAGAGGAAGTTTTCCTACATTAAATAACTGAATAAGTAAAACTTAGCATGTGAGTGCAAAAGCTGAAGTGTTTGCAGTAATCTGTAGCTAGATGTTGATTAGATATTCACCGTGGTCTCCCCTAGATCAAAGAAAGCAGGCATCTGCAAATATTATTCATTCCACTTGATGGTAGGAAATGGATGAGTATACCAAAGATATCAGAGGTTTTGAATCCTGACATTGTCCTAGTAGTATCGCTGAAGCCATGCTTCAGATCTAGCTGTTCCATTTCAGTCACAACACAGGAAATCTTCCTGTTTGTCACATAGATGTCAGTTTACATTCTGTCCATTAAAAAAAGGATGAATCCAATCAAGCCAATCATCACCCTATTTGTCAAATCTCAATTATCAGTAAAGTCAGAGTTATACAGCACAGAACAAGACCCCTAGGTCCAACTCATCCATGCCTGCTCGATATCCTAACCTGATCTAGTCCCCTTTGCCAGCATTTGGCGCTTATCCCTCTAAATGCTTCCTATTCATGTTCCCACCCAGATGCCACTTAAATATCATAACTGTATCCGCCTCCACCACTTCCTCTGGCAGCTCATTCCATACACACACCACCTTCTGCATAAAAAGGTTACCCCTTAGCTCACTAGTAAACCTTCCCTCTTTCACCTTAAACCTATGCGGTCTAGTTTTGGACTCCTCTACCCTGGGAAAAAGACCTTGGCTATTCACCCTAACCATGTCCCTCATGATTTTATAAACCTCTATAAGGCCACCCCTCAGCCTCCGATGCTGCAGGGAATAAAGCCCCAGGCTATTCAGCCTCTCCCTGTAGCCCAAACCATCTAGGCCTGAAACGTCAGCCTTCCTGCTCCTCTGATGCTGCTTGGCCTGCTGTGTTCATCCAGCTCTACACCTTGTTATCTAACATCCTTGTAAATCTTCTTTGTCATCTCTTCAAAAAAAAACTCAATCAAGTTAGTCAGACATGACTTCTCATGCACAAAGCTATGTTGACTATTCCTAATCAGTCCTTGCCTTTCCAAATGCATGTAAATTCTGTCCCTCAGAATCCCCTCTAACAACTTACCCACCACTGCCATTAGGCTCACCAGTGTATGGCCTTTCTTAAATAGGAGCCCACCAATCTCTTTCCTAGCTTCCCGCAAAGTTCTGGGAAACACCTGAAATGGTCCCGGGGATTTCTGTACCTTTATGCATTTTAGGACCTCCAGCATCCCTTCTTCTGTGATATTAACTATAAGACATCACTATTTATTTCCCCAAGTTCCCTAGCTTCCATGTCCTTCTTCACAGTAAATACTGATGTGAAATTTTTGTTTAGTATCTCGCTCATCTCCTGTAGTTCCAAACATAGACGACCATGTTGATCTTTAAAGGGCCCTATTCTATCTCTAGTTACCCTTTTGCCCTTAATGTGCTTACAGAATCTCTTTGCATTTTCCTTAGCTCCTTGCCAAAGCTATGTCATGTCCTCTTTTGACCATCTTGATTTCCCTCTTGAGTATACTTCCAGTGACCTTATACTCCTCTAGAGATTCACTTGATCCCAGCTGTCTGTACCTGACATATGCCTCCTTTTCCTTAAACAGAGCTTCAATTTCTCTAGTAATCCAGCATTCCCTACACCTTCCAGCCTTGCCCTTCACATTAACAGGAACATATGTCTCTGAACTCTCGATCTCTCATGTCTAAAGGCCTCCCACATCCCAACTGTTCCTTTACCTGTGAATAGCTTCCTCCAATCAACTTTTGAAAGTTCCTGTCTAATACAATCAAAATTGGCCTTACTCCAATTTAGAACTTTAACTTTTTGTTCAGTTCTAGTAGTATTATAATCACTTGTTCCAAAGTTCTTCCCTACTACAGCTCAGTCACTTGCCCTGCCTTATTTCCCAACAGAAGGTCAAGTGTTGCTCATTCTCTAGTACGTACATCCACATACTGAATATGAAAGTCTTCTTGTACACACTTAACAAATTCCTCCCCAATCAAGCCCTCAACACCATGACAGCCCCAGTTTATGTTTGGAAAGATAAAATCCCCTACCATTACAACCCTATTTTTCTTGCAGATATTTGTGATCCCCTTAGATATTTACTTCTCAATTTCCCATTGACTGTTGGAGAGGACTTATAATACAGGCCCAACAATGTGATCATTCCTTTCCTATTTCTCAGTTCCACCCATATAACTTCACTGGATGATCTTCCAAGAATATCTTCTCTAAGTACAGCTGTAATGTTATCCTTAACCAAAAACACCACTCCTCATCCTCTGTTTCTTCCCTTTCTATAGTATCTATACCCTGGAACATTGAGTTGCTGGTCCTGTCCATCCTTGAGCCATGTTTTTGTAATAGCTATGATATGATACATTTTAAATTTAATGTTGATCTTGCTCTCTGTGCACCTTCTCTGCAGCCCTAACATCTTAACTCTTTTATTACCCTAATGCACTTTGTATGGTCTGATCTCCCTGTACTGCATGCAAAACAAAACTTTTCACTGTACCTAGGTACATGTGACAATAATAAATCAAATCAAATCAAATCCCAGTCCCATGTTCACAACCATGCCCTAAGTTCATCTGCCTTACTTGTCAGGCTTCTTGGATTGTGGTAAATGCAATTTAATTTATCAGTCTTGCTTTGTTCTCTGCCAAGCTCTTGTTTGCTTTGACTAGCCTCCCCTTATCTATTGTACCATTTTATTTTGAAGGAGGATTGTTGACCAGACACTATCAAGCACTCTGATACTTAAATTGTTCCCAAATGAACAAATGAAAAAGTACAGCACAGGAACAGGCCCCTTGGCCCTCCAAGCCTGGGCTGACCATCATGCCCTAATTAATCTAAAAACAAACCTGCCATATTTTGAGATAACAAGGTGTAGAGCTGGATGAACACAGCAGGCCAAGCAGCATCAGAGGAGCAGGAAAGCTGATGTTTCGGGCCTAGACCCTTCTTCAGAAAATTTCTGAAGAAATTTCTGAACTTCATTTTCTGAAGAAGGGTCTAGGCCCGAAACGTCAGCTTTCCTGCCCCTCTGATGCTGCTTGGCCTGCTGTGTTCATCCAGCTCTACACCTTGTTATCTCAGATTCTCCAGCATCTGCAGTTCCTACTATCCCTGCCATGTTTTGATCTGTATCCCTCTATTCCCTCCCTATTCATGTACCCATCTAGGTGCCTCTTAAATGTCTTCAACGCGCCTGCTTCCATTACCTTTTCTGGTAGTGCATTCCAGGCTGCTACCACTCTCTGCGTGAAAACCTCCCTCGCACATCTCCCTTAAACTTTACCCCTCTGACCTTGAACCTGTGCCCCCTTGTAACTGGAACTTCAACCCTGGGAAAAAGCCTCTGACTATCCATCCTATCTATGCCTCTCATAATTTTGTAGATCTCTATCAGGTGTCCTCTCAGCCACCGTCTTTCCAGTGAAAACAATACTAGTCTTTTTAACCTTTCGTCATAGTCAGTGCCCTGGAGACCAGGCAACATCCTCGTGAACCTTGTCTGTACTCTCTCAAAAGCTTCCACATCCTTCTCATGGATATTTACAATGGAACCTCCTAACAATGCAGTACCTCTCAGTTTAGATTTTATGTTCAAGTTATGATGTATTGCTGCATCGCTCCAAACTGAGAGTGCTATCAACCAAGTCAAGCTGATGAATAATAGGAACAAAACTTGAATTAATGATAAGTAAAGTGCAGCCATTATTTTGTTATGTTAAGTGATACTTGTTTAAAAAAAAAGTGAATGATCTGAAACATAATTTTGTTGGGCATTGTATCGTAATGTATCGTGAGCACATTTTTCTAGTAATTTGTTTTTGCATACTGTTATGACTGACTTAGGAGGGACAGGACTGAATCCTTGTTCCACTCCCCCATTGTTCACAACAAAGTTTGAATTTAAAAATGGAGATAATGATTCCATTTCAGACATATATAAAACAGAGCATCAGACACTAGTCAACTAGGTTCTTTAAGTGACATCCAAATAACTAGTTTATTGCAAAGAAACCGCTAAGCACAGATGTATTATATGCAGAAGGTAAGAACTGTATAGAGATATATAAAACTAATCTTCTTGAAAGTAACACAGGCGCGCACGCACGCACACACACACAAAACCTGCAGGAGGAAATCTTCTGAAAAAAATTTGCTAATGATTTTTTTAAATATGGAAGATTAAACAAGGCACAGTGAAATACAAAGGTACTTGGTACATTTATAATAGTATTAATGCCTGTTATTTTCTAATTCATTTTTAAACCATCTCATAATAATACTATTATTTTTGTTTTAGATCCACTGTTTATAACCATGACAAAAACACACGTAATTGTGGCCTCTAAAGAAGCATTTTACATCTGGCAATATCGTGTAGCCAAGAAACTCACAGCAATGGAAATCAACCAGGTAGCACGAACAAGGAAGGAGGGGCGGGAGAGGTTAGTGTTATCAATTTTTAGTGAAACAACAAAGTTAGCTTTATAGAAGGATGTGTCAGAGAAAGTTAGCATCAGCCACAGTTCCTTTTTTTTTATTGCTGGCTAGTGCCTCTACATGCAAAATAGATGTTGATTAAGGGCAGGCTAGATATGGTTGTAAATCTCCCTCTGATTTCTGTGCTGGCATTCACTGTACAGACTCATGCACAAAGAAGTGCCATTTGGAGAATTGATGCCTCCTGTGAAAATGTAACATAACATGAGTTGTTGTCTTTAGTAGAGAAGTTACTAGTTTAAAATTCACTTTAATGGCATTTGCAAAATGCTTTAGGTCAGAGAATTATGATCCTACTAAGCAGATAGCCAACATTCTTGTTGTCTTTAGTGCAATGAAGACATGCTTCAAAGTGAATTTTTAATGCCATTTATTTGGGACAAAATGTGTAAAATTATATCTGATGCAAGAGGGATATTTTCCTTTTCTATTGCTTCATTGTTGCCCCTCCCTACTGTCTGCTGTGCCAACATGCCCATGGCCTCATCCCTTCTCCCTTAGCTGTGTGATGTAGAGAATTGTACTCTGTATTCGGAGATTGGTTTTTAATCAAATTAGACTTGTAAAATGGACCTTGAAAACAGCTTTTAGGATGACATCTTAATTTTCTATTTTATTGGAATCTTAATAGCTAATAATTGATTATGACAAAATCATTCATGTATTAATTGTCTTTAAATTTAGTTGTAGAATAATGATTACTTTTTTTGTTGTTTATAAGTTAATATTTGCACTTTGGATACTCTGGCATCCTTAATTTCTTCGAGAGAAAATTTCTAACAAGAAACATGGTTTTTCTTTCTCATATGAACAGAATTTATCACGTTGATGATGAATCGTCTGTTGCAGGAGATGGTACTGTAGATTTCAGCAAAGCTTTGTCCGTAAGTGTTGTTTTTGTATTTGATGAAACAACAGTGCATCTTGTTTGTGTTGCTGGCTTATTTCTGGAAGAATGTCAGAATGTCATGGAGAGGTTAAAATATTTTGTGAAACATAACTAACCTGTTTATTTGCCTATTGATACTTTTACTTTACATTTCTATGACCCATTTTTGTGGGAGGAGTTTACTTTATTTGGGACCCTTATTTTAATTTTGACAACTTGAAAATCTGACAGCTAATTGAGAATGAGCAAAGCCAGCTGTTGAAGATCAGTACATTTTTAAAGGCAGGAAAGTGAATTGAGGGTTATCAGAAATTGAATGGTGGGACAAATTCATTGGGCCAAATGGCCTCCTACACCGTCTAATTCTTATGGTCTTATTGGTTAAGGATCTTAAATTAAGTAATCCCTTGACTTCATGTGCTTGCATAACTGTTACATATGCCCTACACCTAAGGACATAGAGAAAAGATTATATATCAGAACAGGAGATCTGTATTTTCAAAATTCTGTATCTCAGCCACCTTGTGTGAACATGTAGTTGGAGTACTTTTTGTTGGTTGAATGCTTCAAAAACGAAATTCATTTGCCTTGTTATTGGGCATGAGGACTGAATTACCATGGGTTTGAACACTTAAGAAATGAGGTGGTGTGAGGACGATTATTATTATTTGGGGTTTGAGTTCCAAACAGGAAGAACAAAATGAATGGTTTCACTTTGGGATCTGACTTCTCCAATATTATCAACAGCTGATGTATACAACTCAAATATTTCTCTAATGGGTAAAGGTCACATTGACTCCATTGCACTACTAGCATCCTCTGCATACTGCAGGGATGAGTGGTGTTGTGAAGAAACCATGCCTTCCTTTTTTAAAGACACTGTTCCTATAAAGGGGGAGTTGCAGGCATTTTTCCAATGGTGGTGAAGGGAGAATGTTTGGGTCTCCTTCTCCTTCTAGTGGCATGACCTGACACATTGGACAAGTAGAAGTTAGGAAGGACATCATGTTTCTATCACTGGTAGGCAGGAAGCTCTCAAGACAGCCTCAGAGAGAACTGGAGCATTTGACATGGGTGATTTGTATCTAGAGTCTGGCTTCCTGAACCTGACAGCCATTCTGGTAAAAGTTCAATGACTTCACCCAAATGGTCAATGTATCTGTACTTTATGGCACCCTCCTTAGAGTTGAGCTGGCACATGGGGAGCCATTTAATGGGCTGGGAACAGTATTTTGCTGAAATTGATTGCATCCGCTCTCTAATACATAGATTAATGTTGAATTTTGTTCAATACTATATTAGAAATCATCTGAATCTGAGATGATTTTGTATTTTGGGGATGGGGGAAAGCATGGAATTGAAGACATGAGATGAAATGTTCTTGTTGATTTTTTATGTGATGTTTAATTTAAAATGGGACAGTGTTGGGATTCGAGCTTAATTTTCTACTCTTGTGTTTGTTCTCCCTTAGACAACAAAGGATGCAATCTGCTGCGTCACAGCTTCTGATAAAATATTGATTGTGGTAATTCCATTTTTTCATTTGATTTAGAAGTACATGTTCAGTATAAGATGATTTTAAGTAATATTTTGCTTTTAAATACTTCTAGTTTACTAATGTATTTTCATGTTCACAATACGAACTAGCTTCATAACTGAGTTGCTAGATGAGGCATTTGGGTGGTTGATTCCTATTTCTCAGGAGCTAAATAACCTACCGAAACTCCAATATGACCAGTAGGATTTACACAAACATTTCTGGCTGGAGCTGTGTGGCTCAGTATGAAGGGAAAGAAGATAATGCTGGCAGTAGCATGGCCACATCAACACTGTATTGCCAGCATCCTCTACACAATGCCAGGGTGCGAGTGGTATTGTAAAGAAACCATGTGTTCCTGGCAGTCTTCCTTTTAATATAAAGGCACAGTTCCTATTAACAGGGAGTTGCAACTTGTTGCTGCTGAGGGAGAATGAGGATTGCACACCATGGAATGTGGGTGGTAAACAAATTGGCAGCATTTAGAAGTGATAAATAAGTCAAGTAAATTATGGTCTCCCACTGCTTTGTGGTCTCATTACAGATTACCCCAATGCTTCACTTGCCGAGTGCTAAGTTCAGCATGATATGATGCTAACTAGTAGGTAGGCTGCTGTGCTGAACTAAATGGGGAGTCAGCATGTTGTGATTGATACTACTCTGTTAGATTTTCGTTTAACAGCATTGAGATGTGTACCCAGCTCACAACATTCCAGTAGGTCTGGCTCAATTTTGGTAATGTTTGAATTTTTAACTTGGTGCCTAACAATAGTATGGCATGCCAACATGTTTTTTACCAAGCTCAACTGCTTGAACTGGGAACAATCTTCCCAGCAACTTCAGATCTGTCTTGGCAGATGTATCATTTGTTTGCTCATCACAAGACTTGCTGTTTGTATGCCAGATCCCGCTAGATTAACTTTTACTTGGTGTGTGGAGGCTGCTAAATTAATTGGGGTTGTCTTCATTTTTGGAAAATAAGGCGACTTTCATGCACATAATTTCCTGTCCCCTCTGGCCTTGCATAGGAATCACAAAATTTTATTCTGTTAATCTCTTTATATTATTGCTCATAGAATCCCTACAGTGTGGAAACAGGCCCTTCGGCCCAACAAGTCCACACCGACGCAAAGAGCATCCCACCCAGACCTTTCCCCCTAATCTACACATCCCTGAACACTACGGGCAATTTAGCATGGCCAATCCACCTAACCTACACATCTTTGGACCATGGGAGGAAACCGGAGCACCCAGAGGAAACCCACACAGACACGGGGAGAATGTGCAAATTCCACACAGACAGTCGCCCGAGGGTGGAATCGAACCCGGGTCCCTGGCGCTGTGAGGCAGCAGTGCTAACTATTGAGCCACTGTGCCGCCCGTGCTCACTGGAATCTCACGCCATACACAAAGTGGGATTCCTGTTTAGGTCGGCACTACTGCCATGTTTTTGAGATCTTTTACAGTTCTTTCGAAGAAATTGCCTTGTGTATCAACACAAGTTCTTTTTTAAAGGATATGTGGAATAGATGGCTAATTCCATAGAGCTGGGCAAAGGAGTGGCAGATGGGATTCAACCCAGAAAAGTGTGAAGTGATTCATTTTGGAAGGTCGAATTTGAATGCAGAATACAGGGTTAATGGCAGGATTCTTGGCAGTGTGGAGGTACAGAGGGATCTTGGGGTCCACGTCCATAGATCCCTCAAAGTTGCGACCCAAGTTGATAGGGTTGTAAAGAAGGCGTATGGTGTGTTGGCTTTCATTGGCAGGGGAATTGAGTTTAAGAGCCGTGACGTTATGCTGCAGCTCTATAAAACTCTGGTTAGACCACACTTGGAATATTGTGTTCAGTTCTGGTCACCTCATTACAGGAAAGATGTGAAAGATTTGGAGAGAGTGCAGAGGAGATTTACCAGGATGCTGCCTGGACTGGAGGGCAGGTCTTATGAGGGACGGTTGAGGGAGCTAGGGCTTTTTTCATTGGAGCGAAGAAGGATGAGAGGTGACTTGATAGAGGTTTACAAGATGAATAGAGGCATAGATAGAGTGGATAGTCAGAGACTTTTTTCCAGGGTGGAAATGGCTATTACAAGGGGGCATAATTTTAAGGTGATTGGAGGAATGTATAGGGGAGATGTCAGAGGTAGGTTCTTCACACAGAGAGTGGTGGGCGTGTGGAATGCGCTGCCAGCAGTGGTAGTGGAGTCAGTTACTTTAGAGATTTTTAAGCAACTCTTGGATAGGCACATGGAGGATAGTAAAATGTAGGGTATGCAGGGTAAATTGATCTTAGTAGGATAATAGGTCGGCACAACATCGTGGGCCAAACGGCTTGTGCTGTGCTGTACTATTCTATGCTCTATATTCTATGTTCTATAATTAAAATAACAATGGCTTAAGCTCGTCTTCTTGAAGAAGCAAATTGTTAAGATGTTTTAGCAGATGAAGAACACCTCAAATCCACAGTGTTCACAACTATCTCGTACACTTTTAATGCTGAATAAGAGGAAGATTAATAAAAGAGGCAGCGATCCACAGAGGCAGTGAGATCAAGAACATTTTACAATAGATATGGAATACAGAAGTTAAAGCTTAGTTTGTTTAAATCAAGATTAACTGCTGATGTGGAGAACTGAAGTTTGGTCATTGTGACAGTTGCACTCATGGAATAAGGTAAATCTTGTCAAAACTGGTGCCCTGTATGTTCGAAGCAGAGAGCTGCAAATTTATTCTACTATTTTCATAACCACCAGATTTCCTGATGTTCTTTGCAGTCAATTATGTGCTTTTAAAGTGCAATCACTTGTAATATAGCTGCTGCACTAGAGTGAAAACTTATTGTGCTCAAGACTGGAATGGGATACAACTTCTGATTTAGAGACAAAAGTGTCACCACATGAGCAATGGCTGATAATGTTTACTTGCTTCTAAATAAAGCAGTTCAATGCTTCAGTTTAAGTATTTAATAAGTCTACCTTTAAAGAGATTAAAGAAATGCATGTAGAAAAGGCACAAATATCAAGTTAAAGTAATAGAGTCATGCTGGCCGTTGGTTTGAGCAGTATGTGCAGAACCATAAGCGTGAGATGCTAGGACCATTTATTGAAATAACACCATGTATTGTACCCAAGAGAATATCAAAGACAACATCCTTAATTTATCCACCAATACTGTATGGTTATTGCATCAAAATAATGGGGTAGTCTATTTCATGCAGCTTCTGCCTATTTCCACCTCTGTGACTTCACCCAATTTCACCACTGTTTCAATTAAACTGCTGCTGAAACCCTCATTCATGCTTTTGTTACTTCAACTGTTCCAACCCAACCCCCTCTATAAACTCATGGTAACCTAAAGCTCAGCTGCAAATATCTTGACTCACCATAAGCCATGTTTCCCATTAGCTTTGTGCTCGCTGATCTACATCTCGATCTCATCTTTGTCTTGAAATCCCTTAACGGCCTTGCTCCTCTCTGTTTCTAGAGGCTCCTGCAGCCCTGCAACCCTCTGGGATACATGCAGTCCTCTAATTCTATCTTCTCACTTTCCCAGTTATAATTATTCCACTATTCGCGGCAATGCCATCAGTTGCTCAGCCCGTGGACTGGAAGTCCCTTCTTATACTTCTCTGCTGTCCTACCTTTTCTCCATTAAGACACTTCCCAAAACCTACCTGTTTGAATGACCTTTCATAATTTGAATTAAGTAATATCTCCACATGAGGCATTGTTTTCTACATTGTTTTACAATGCTACTGAGAATCGCCTTGGAAGATTTCATTAAATTAAGGTGCTGGATTAGTAACTTGAACAGAGTGCAGCTGAGCCTGTTTTCAGCAATTAGTGAAGGATACTTGATATTTGAAGACTAAAGAAGAGCTAATCAAAATTTGATTTTGTTTGATTTGTTTTCATTAAATGCACCTCTTGTCTGATTATTTTAAACAGTAGAAATAAGCAAACAGCCTGCAGTTGTCCAGCTTTTCTGGTTATGTGGATGGGTGGGAGGTTTGGTGGCAAGGTCTTGTTCAGGACCTTTAATTAATAATACCAGGCTTAATAATTAGAATAAAAACTGAAAGAACTGTGGATGCTGTATATCAGGAACAAAAACAAAGTGGCTAGAAAAGCTCAGCAGGTCTGGCAGCATCTGTGAAGGAAAAAACAGGGTTAACGTTTCGGGTCCGGTAGCCCTTCCTCAGAACTTCTGAGTTCTGAGGAAGGGTCACCGGACCCGAAATGTTAACTCTATTTTTTCCTTCACAGATGCTGCCAGATCTGCTGAGCTTTTCCAGCCACTTTGTTTTTGTTCCTAATAATTAGAATACTGAAGAGAAAATGGTTCTACAATTTTTTTTGACAAGTCATGTACACAATTAGTTATTTTGCTTTGTATTTTTCAGGGTCGTGAATCAGGGAAAATTCAGAAATATAGTTTACCAAATGTTAGTCTGTTACAAAAGTATTTGTTCAACTACAGAAGTTATCAATTATCGCTGAACTGTAATTCCAGGTGAGTCATTTTCGTAAAGAAATAATGGAATTGAGTCTTTTTCTGTAAATGGTTACATATCGTGTCCTACTTGGTTGTAGATCATCATATGTAAGATGTCTGTGGCATAGCCAGGGGGAGTGGGTTGTGTGCAGGAGAACCCACAAATGATGTTGACCCCCTTGTCCAATACCAGCCTGTGCAATAAAAGATTCCATCAGCTACACGTGTGGTGTGGGCCTTCTTCTGTTGTAAGTAATATGGTGAGAGGGGTGTGTTGAGGTATTTAGTTGGCAATTCATTGTCCATTTAAGGGCCTGAATGGACCCAGTGTTGACTGGGTTGCTCGTTGCCTCTACTGCCCTGTGTAAAGTTGGAGTCAGGTTGGGTTGAAGGCATGCCAGCCCCATGTGCTGTGTTTGATGCGTACCTTGCTTTCAAACTGGTACACAGGAATCATATAATTTCAACTGAGGTCTTATTCTGGGAGGCTGTAGATCTCAGTGATGATCTGCCATCAAAATATCAGCTTCCTGAGGCTTTGGTGCTCAGATATGTTGTGAAAACCAATTCCCTGTGTTGGGGAGGAATGGGTGTTCTCATCTTTGGAGGTGATGTTTGTTTTAATCCCCTGCGTCCAGTGAAGAGGTAGTGCTTGAGGAAATGGGAGCCAGAAATACCCAAGTCCAAACACCCAAAGAGGTGTTAAAGACTGAAATCACTAAATTGATTCCTGTGTAATTTTCGCACCATACTAAAAGCCCATATTAAAAAAAATACATTGTTTGGAAAAGATTAAAATATCGACTAATAAGTCTTAAATGTCAAAATTCCCATAGATTGATTTAGATGTTCATTTATTTCACAAATAATTTAACTGGGACAACTGTCATTGGGGAAGTAAAACAGAGATTTTGGCATGAGGATCTTATACCCTTAATTGTTTTATTCTTGTGTCAGTTATTCATTTAAATGGACATGATTGGATATAATGGCAATTTTATTGATGCTGGAAAAATACCTGGTGATAACCATTTATTTTAATAAAAACTGGAAACTGCTTATGGCCATTACTTGAACGGAAAATTTGAGTAGAAAACGGTGGACATGCAGCAATTTTGTGGAGTCAAAGAAAAGTAACATTTCTGTTTGATAACCATTTATCAGAACTGGAAAAAGACAGAAATCTAATTTTTTTTAAGTACCAACGTGGGAAAGGAACAAGGGAAGGTCTTTACAAAGTGGCCGAACAATAAATTAAATGATAAAAGTGATTATGGTTTAAAAACAGGAGACTGATGGAAGACTGAATTATGAACTGAAAATGCTGGAAATATTCAATACGTCTGCAGCATCTAAAGAGAGAAAGAGTTAATGTTTCAAGTTTGTGATGAGTGTTCCTGTCCCCACAGAGGATTCCAACTGTCTGTGCAGCAAACACTACACATGTAACCAACCAAATAACCAAGTGGGGGCTTGTCCTCTATGCAATCAGTGGGGAGGGGCAGCAGCACAATTGGTCACAGGCCCTAGTAAAACCATAAGAATAGGAGCAGGAGTAGCCTGTTTGGTCCCTCGAGTTTGTTCTGCCAATCAGTAGGTTGATGGCTGATCTAACCTTTCTCACGCCCACTTGCCTGCCCTTTTCCCATAACCCTTGATTGCCTGAGCACAGTACACACAGAATGCAAGGGCTTGTCTGCAGTCACTGTTGGTTGGGATGCTAACGTTCAGGAGATCTGTTTGACTACATTCCAGGGAGTGGGCAACAGTAAGTCCTGTAGGGCCTGCGTCTGCAGTCGGGGACACGCATATCGTTAGTCAGGAAGCTGCAAAGACAGGTTTGGTCAGTCACGTCCAGAGGCTGTTTATTGAAGTTGGTCAGAAGTCTGGGATGAACATTTTCTTGGTGGTCTGCCTGTTGTTCATGAAGGAGGTGCAAGGGGCACCTTTAGAGGCAGCAGGTGGGGGGGAATTGCTGCCAAAAGGGGTGGAGAACTTAAGGCTTGGTAGCAAGAAACAGTAAAGACTTTTGTAGAGGTTAGAAAAAGGGCAGTGATTGAGGGCAATTCCAGGTTTCTGGGAGGTATGAAGACCAGCATTAGAGAGCATGGTAGGCTACAGGAGGATATTATTGGCAGTGTCCATAACCATCACCTCTGTAGCATTAGGCTTCATTAAGATGTAATGTTGGGGTTCAGGAGCAGAGAGGACAGTTGGAGGAGAAGTTCCTCCACATGGAGGGGATGCATGGATGTGGACTGTTGGAGTAGACTGAGGTAAAAGTAGACATGCAGGCTTGGGGGGTGGTTGGGGGAACCTGGACCTGGCAACCAGATGGAGCCCAGTACTGATAGTGTTTCCAATGAGCTGCATTCCCTGCCATCACTTGCCACTCTCTAAAGGTGAAGAAGGTGAAATGCAAATAGAAGATGGCTGGGCACTGCTCAGGGTGGGCAGAGTCGGGGTCACGGATGGATAAAAGTATGGGATCCATGTCAGCTGGATACTAGGACATTGTAGGGGCAAAAACCCATCCGTACCTTTGCAAAGTCCAGCTATATTTCATTTACAGTCGTTTCTCTGTCCATTTGCATTTTGTGCCATGTAAGTATACTTAGGTGTCAAATGCTGGTTGAAGGTAATGCACACCATACCATTGGTGCTTCCAAATCAAGTGTAACTTATGACCCAGTCAGATGATAAAACAGATATAACAGATATAACAGGAGGCAAATGCTGGTCAAATTTTCCCGTCACTTTTGGAACTTCCAAGGATGCAATGAGAGATGGGGAACATTGCTTCATCGTGTAAGTATGACGATAGACTCTAATGAATTTAATGGTAAGTTTCATATTTGATGTGCATCTGGGATGGGAATGCAGTTGGAGTGCTGAAATCCTTTTTTGATGTAATGTGTTGCTTCTTAAGCTGGTGTTTCATCTTCACTGAGTTGGTGCGCTTGCTGTGATCAGTGGTGTGGTGGAGCACATTATGGGATTTCTGCTGATATGGTTCTGCTGTTTGGAACAGACTGGGGCACCGTGGATTATAGACCTCTGCACAACTGGAGCAGGCAACAAGGTGATGTGATAGGTGCTGAGGAACCAGATGAATAGCAGCGTGTTCAGAAGAAAAGGATGAGGACATTCAGCTGGAGAAAGTTGTTCTTGTGCATGACAGAGCTCAGCTGTTTTGGGCATTACTAGCCAGACAGGACCTGATTGATGTTCGGCTCCTGTAGATGATAGCTGCTTACAGAATACTATCATGAACTGTAAAATAGTCATTCGTCATAATACCAGCATTTGTTGGCATTTGATATTGTGGGGACGAACTGCAGCTTTTTTTGGTTTGTTTGTGTTTGCTTTTGGTTTGTTTGTGTTTGCTTTTGCTGGCTGTGTAAAAGCTCATGTTTAGAATTGTTTGATCACTTGCCTGTATGTGATGATCTCCTAACGGACACTGACAAGAGATGAGTCTCCGATAGCCATTAGCGACAGGTAGTGGTAACTCAGAGAGGCTGTTTAGATGGAATGAGGCTAATAACAGGTAAACTGTGTGGCCTGGTGGTTAAACAATGACTAGGGTGAAAGAATGTGCAAGGAAGTGTCAGCCATTTGACCATGAGCATCATGGCTTGTTGCTGCTGTGCTATTATGTTGTCAGTGCAGGGTAACACGAGAATGCCAATCCTTGTCCAGGTACACAGCAGCCTTTTAAAGATTGTGTGGGCACATGGATGATCTTTTAATGGACATGGCAATGAGTGTGAGTAGTTCTGGGAATGACTTGCAGTAAGATGGAGCTAGCTGGATGTAAGGGACACCATAGGAATGAAGTAGAAAGTTAAATGATGCGAGAAATCTTTATGGACCTGACAGTGAAAATCCCTTCAAAAATCTTGACACAGCTGGCATTTATTCGCAGAAAAAAGCATGAATTTCGGCCTTCTGTTTCTATCTCCACAGATGTCCATCAAATAAGTGGAGATGCAGGATACAAATCTTAAAATTCAGTCCAGTAGTCAGAAACAAAATGATGACTGATTTTGTTTTTGCAAAACAATTACTGTTTCCTGATGTAATCTGCAATATCTGCACTGCTGAGTATTTCCAGCATCTGCAATTGCTGCACTACTGAGTATTTCCAGCATCTTCTACTTTAATTAAGACTTATACCATCTTGAGTGTTTTACTTCTGTGCACACAGTATTTTTTTAGAATCATTTAAGACATTTATAGTAGGTAATCTGGAGACATTGAACTAAATTCAATGAAAGTACTAATGATGTAACTTCTTCTATTATTGTCTAGCCGCCTTGCCATCATTGATATTGCAGGTGTTCTGACATTTTTTGACCTTGAGACAAGAACAGTGGACAGTACAGGGCAGCAAGTAGTCGGCGAACAGCTAAAATTTGAGCGTAAAGATGTGTGGGATATGAAATGGGCAAATGACAATCCAGATTTGTTTGCTATGATGGAGAAAACCAGAATGTATGTGTTTCGAAACTTGGATCCTGAGGTGAGATTTTGAGCATATTGTCTTGTACATTTCTTGAACTTAAACTGACGTGATATTTCAAGAAATAGAAACAGAAAATGTTAGAAACAGTCGTAAGGTCAGGCACCATGTGTGGAAACAATGGAAGAATTCAGGGTGTGTCAAAACACTGTGTTAAGTCTAAATGATTGCAAATGAACAATATTTTAAGAAGATGCAAAGAACATGCGAACACGTGAGGAAATGAAAGATGAGGCAAACAGAAATCAGAGTATGAAAAGCTATTAAAAGCCAGCACACTGTGGCAGCCAAGGATCTTGAGGGAGGAAAAAGTCAGGTTTACACAGTGGGTTCAGGACTATGCATCCCAAACTGCAACACGTTCTCTTCCCCCATGTTAAATAGCTCCTAGCCAAGTGGTGAAGTATGAAACTTGACTGACTTTATGCACTGTTTGTAAAATGTTACCACTTTGTTCAGTGTGTGTTGACACATCCATGGTAGCTGTGACTTGAGCCTGGACCTTCTGAGCTACACTACAAGACCCCTTTTCTAACTGCCGTTATAACTTTTTTAAATCAACTTTTTCATGCATGTTATGACCACACCTTTGTGGCAAGTGGGACTTGAACCTGACCTTCTAGTCCTGAGGTAGAGACACTACCACTGTGCCCAAGACCCCTTTTGCTGACACTTTATCTGAGATCCCACACCATTATCAATGCACACCACCTTTGTAACTTCAACAACGTAATGTACAGACCATTAAGTACTCCTCCCTACACCAAGGCTCCGACCTCTGGAAACACCAACACATCCAATATCCAGTTCTACACTGCTAGCACTTAATGCTACGGAGAATATGGGATCCAGAGTTTAAAGCCATTTTTAGTCCTGAGGACTGAAACCTCCTCAAGCTGTTCCAGGAGTCTGCATTAAACTTTGAAACAGTCTAGATGGCTAAATGCAGATGTGTTGGAGTGGGTATGGGATGGAAAATTGAAAAGCTGGGTGTTATGGAAGTGGGATCAAATTTATGGAGAAAACAAAAGTATTCAGGAAAAGGAAAGTCGCACTTTAGAAGAATTAGCAGTAAATATGGTATATGTGGAAGAACACAAACTTCTATCTCACCTGGAAACAGCATACTGGATCTTGTGCTACTGCTGTAAGTGGTAAGCAAGGTGTGTAGGGGTGGAGTTTGATTGCACAGGAGGCCAAAAGTCAGAGTGAAGATAGTGGGAGTTTTCAGTTAAGTTCTTGGAACTTTCAAAGTTTGATCAAACTTCTTGATGGCAAATGTTGGGGAGTCTTTTTGTATGCGCTGTATCTCATGCATGGCCACTAAATGACCAGCTTGTCAGAATTAAATTCCCCTTCCCAAATAAACTCTCTGTGAGCAAGCAATATATGCCTTATTAAACATTACAGCACAGGAACAGGCCTTTTGGCCCACCCTGTTTGCGTCAACTATGATGCCAGTCTAAATTAATCCCATCTGCCTGCCTTCTGATTGTATGTAGCAGACAAAATACTGCACTTATTGAGCATTGGAGTGATTAGCTACTGCTTTGATCTTTTTGTGGAGCTTTCATCTTGCCATACCATGATTGACATTGGGTGATGATAGTCAAAGTTGCCCAAGCAACCGAGGCTGACCAAGGGAGGAAGGCAGGGCTGTAATGGCCATGGGTCAACGAGGCTGTGCAGAGTAGATATCTATGTGGCGATGGATGAAAGCCAAGCTGACCAGACAATGGTGGAAGACCCAGAATGTATAGCTGCAGGCATCAACTCCAACAACCCAAGTGATGCTCCTGGATTGCAGGGAATAAATGCTTGGCTAGTTACCTTTAAAATATGATGCCAGGGCTTCAACTCCTTCAGGTAGCAGTGGGGTCATCAACTTCTTGCTTCATCCCACCAAAAGATTTGCCATGCTGCTGCTGTGTAATTATTTGGGCCCTGATCAGTACTGTAGGTATTGTACAACTTTAACTTACCTGGGGAGTGGCCAAAGGACTAAAAAAAAAGTGATTGGTTTGTAAAATAATAAATAAGGGTGTCCCAGAAGGAAAGACAACTTTAGCTTCTTTCTGAACTTGAGCTGTGATCTTTAACCTGGGCAGTGAATTAGGCAGTGGCCTGTATGCTGGTTAAATCATCCTCTAAACAACAAAAGGGGAGGTGATGGTCTAGTGGTATTATCACGAGGTAATCTGTTAATCCAGAGACCCAGGTAACATCCTGGGACGCAGGTTCAAATCCCGCCATGGCAGATGGTGGAATTTGAATTCAATAAATATCTGGAATTAAGAATCTAACGACGATCATGAATCCATTGTCGATTGTTAGGAAAAAGCCATCTGTTTCACTAATGTCATTTAGGGAAGGAAACTGCCATCCTTACCTGGTCTGGCCTATATGTGACTCCAGACCCACAGCAATGTGGTTGACTCTTAACTGCACTCTGGGCAATTAGAGATTGGCAATAAATGCTAGCCAGCTATGCCCTCACCCCATGAATGAATAAAGAAATAAAATCTCTTTCCTGCTAAATAAAAACCGAAAGAACTGCGGATGCTGTAAATTCGGCACAAAAACAAAGTTGCTGGAAAAGCTCAACAAGTTTGGCAGCATCTGTGAAGAAAAATCAGAGTTCATGTTTTTCCGGTGACCCTTCCTTAGATTGTTCCTCTCTTTCCTGGACCCATCTGCTGCATGTACATGTTAAAGAGGCTGGTACTGTTGCTAGTGCTTGAGTTCCAACTCTTCAAATCAAATTGTCAGCAATGGCACTCATAATAAATAGAAGGAGCTTAATGGAAGAAAAAAATCACAAAGAAGTAGTCTGCCAGACTCGCTGCTAGCTGAAACTTCAGCTTGCACTATTTGAATACAGGTTTATTTGGAAAGTCTGACGTATGTTTTAGTTTTATGATATTTGCCATAAGTTGTGCTTTTTAGCTGTAAATTTTTCTTGGTCTATTTGGGAACAAGGTATACGTTTGGAGTTTGTGCTTCAATTCATTTATAATGAAGGTAGTGTTGAGCACCATTTATTAAGTAAGTTAGATATTGAAACCAATTTTGTGTGACGGTAGGTTTGCTTCTTGGTGAACTTAATATTAAACTGTTCAATTATTTTTATAGGAACCAATTCAAACATCTGGGTATATATGCAATTTTGAAAATTTGGAAATCAAATCAGTACTTTTGGATGAAATTTTGAAGGTAATGTTTAGATGCAATATTTATCATATGTAAAAAAAATCACTGGAAGACTATTTGTATAGTTAATATTGGCAAAAAATATTAATCATGTGCACTTTAATATTGTTTCTACTTTAATTATTTATTTTCTATTGATTATCCATTAAAAATATATTTGCTATTTTACAGTTCCTCTGTGTGACTGGTCCAGCTGTTTTCAAACACTTAGCCTCCATGATTCCTCTTTAAAACTGGGGCTGTGTGTGAATGTGGTAACAATTCTAAAAGCTCAGTAATCAGACCTAGTGACAGTGTCACAGCCTAGCATTTTAAAATATATTAATCATTAATGGGACGTGACCATTGCTGGCTGAGCCCAAGTTGCCTTGGAGAAGGTACACATCTTTGGACTGTGGGAGGAAGCCGGAGCACCCGGCAAAAACCCATGCACATGGTCACCCAAGATTGGAATCGCACCGGAGTCCCTGATGCTTTGAGGCAGCAGCACTAACCACTGAGCCACCGTCTACCTCCCCCTCTCTCCCTCCCGCTTCCTCCCCACCCGTCTCTCTCTTTCTCTCTCCCTGCACCCCACCTCTCTCCCTTTTTTCACTTCACAATTTATGAGAAAGATGATGTTGATCATTTATCTTGTGGATTTACTTTAGTAAAGATAGTCCCTATTGGTTTTTCTCTTAGGAGCCAAACCAGCCCAACAAGGACTACATCATTAATTTTGAAATTCGTTCGCTACGTGATAGCCGAAGTCTTATAGAAACTGTTGGGATTGAAGATGCCTGCGCATTCATTGAAGAAAACCCTCACCCAAGACTGTGGTAAGGAGAGTGAACATCAAATGTTTTACTTCTGGTGTTTCGTTTTCAATGTGTATCACATGGCTTCAGCTTTTCAGCCAGTTGGCAAAATCTTGGTCTTTCCTGTTCAATTAGTCTTCTTCACATGCAACTGGGTCAGAAGTCACACGACACCAGGTTATAATCCAACAGGTTTATATGAAAACACAAGCTTTCGAAGCCTCGCTCCTTCTTCAGGTGTTAGTGAGAGAGGTGGAATCAGACACAGAATTTATAAGTAAAAGATCAAAGGGTCACATCACTGATGAGGATGTATTAAACAAATACAAATTTGCAGATACACTCTCTATTTTGTTCAAAAAGCTTACAATTTATAGACAGTCAATGTGGCGTTTTATAAATTTCTACTTCAGGAATAAAACCAGTCTGACTCCAAACCAAAACACAAACAGATTCTAAACAAGGCCTCACACCTAACATGCATTGTCTGCCCTAAAATGTCATCTCTTCTTTACACTGATAAAACGTTTAGTTCTCTCAGGGCAGTGACTTGAAAGAAATTTGGGGATCTACATATACATATTAATTAATGAAAACCTTCTAACTGATTAAAGATTTAACAGCATCTTAGGTTTGTTTAACCTCCACATCACATGCAACTGAATATTGCAGTCATCCTTTCGAAGAGAATACTAGTTTGTGGTGCTTCAAGTAATATGTCTGTTCCTGTGATACACAAAGACTGATTGATTGTCAATTGGATTCTGAGATGTCTTCTATTTTTACAGTGCCACAGAAGTGTGGAGTAATTTATGATGGTTTTTCTTGAGTATACAATTTGCAGTTCTTATCTGCAAGCCTGTAAACCAGAAGTTCTGTTAAAGTTTTATTGACTTTCGCTAATTTTCTTTGGTACTTTTAGTCTACAATACTTTTCTATAGTCTTCACACATTCTGTCTTGAGTGGTAGCATTTTGCAGTTTGTATAAAATTTACCCGTGGTAAATTGATGACCAAACTAGTATGAATCTTGAAAGAAAATTGCATTCATTTTCTTTTCAGTCATTCAACGACCCCTAGTCCCTGAAACAATAGCTCCAGCAAAGCCCAGTGCATGCTGGAAGAATAGCACCGCTTTCTTTGCTTAGGCACTTTACAAGCCTCATTGAGATCAACATCTTCAGAGCATGGACACTTACCTCCATTTTGATTACTCCCTACCGCCCCTTCACTATTTTGATTGCGTTGTTTGCTCTCAGCAGTGCTGACATATTTTCTCCTAATAGCACCTACCATTAACACTTATTCTGGATCTATACTACCATTAGCACTCCCTTGGTCTTTTGCTTTGGGCACCCTCACCATATGCTCCACTTGCTGTTCTTCCCCCTTTGACAACAAAATAAAGACTTTTTCTAGTACCCTTCATTTTGGAAGAAGAGTCATATTGGACATGAACTGTTAACTGTTTCTCTCCCCATAGATGCTGGGTTACTCCAGCATCTACAGTTCTTTACTTTTATATGGAGAAAAAGCATTCGACAAATTGCTCGAACTCAATCCTTTAGATTTATGAGCAAAGCAGAGAGATGGAGGAAGAGAAACTGGTGGAGGGAGAGACAGGGTGAGTGGGGGAGGGAGAGAGAGAGGGAGACAGGGAGGGAGGGAGAGAGAGAGAGGGAGGGAG